GAAAAACAGGGACGCCAGAGAGGCAAGAACACAGAACTTATTCTAATTAGACAGCAACAGAATTTTTTTTTTTTTAAATGTCTGTGGTTTTCTGTTTTTCTGTCTTGGCTGTTATCTCTGAAGGTGGTTACAGAGAGAATCCAGGAGATAGCCCTTGCTTCTGAAGTTTGCGCTGTTTTAAGGACTTCCCAGAAACATCTGTTGAGTTCCTTACCAAGGAAGCCCTAGGCGTTCAAGGGAAAGTGGAGGAGACTGTGGTTTACAAGGGAGCCACATCTGTTTGGTATTCTCCCATCGGGGAAAGCTGGACTTCTGGACCGGCATGGGTCTCCTTGTTAAACTTGAATCTAGCAACAGATGAAAGCCTTTCTTAGTGTTTCAATGGCAGAGACCAACAGCCGTTTATATCCTGTAATTCCTAATTCAGGGTGAAGCCTTCACAGCTGTTGGTATTTTCCGGTTCCATTTCCTTGGATCACAGTGGCGAGGAAGTGAAGTTTGACCCCCCCCTCCCAGTCCCCAGGCAGGAACACAGAAAGATGCCCAGGATTGAAAGCTGAAAATTCTAAGCAGAAGTCCCCGTTTCTTGCCCTCCCAGAGATCTGCTGTTTGCCTAGAATTCTTTTTAACATTATCTGGACAGACATCTTGATGGTTTCCATGATAATGAGTCATGACAGCGCAAAGATCAAAAGGAATAAAAGTAGGCTAGAATCAGGGGGAGGAAGAAGAGGCTGAAATGGAGTGTAGAAGAGAAAGTGGCTCCTAAAAGTAGGTCCAAAAGACACCAACAACATCTGAGAGCAAATCACAGAGATATGTGGGATGCTGATGAATGTCTTCATAGTGATGGGGGATGCTGGTCCTTTTTAATCGACTCCTAACATTTCACCTTGGAAAAGCTAAACAGAAAACGAAACAAGGTAGAAACAAGGTGCAGAAAGTAACCAGGAATGTTGACAAAGAGATTCAGAGACATGTGTTACACTTGCTTTGTCCATCAGTGCCATATACATATTGGGACTTGAAAAGATTATTTTGCATCCACCTGTCCATCCATCCAATCATTTATACAGTAAGAGGACTGGACTTTGTGCTGGGATATTCAAATGCATAGGACGTTTCCTAAAATTTTAAGGGATTCACATTCTAATGGGTGAAAGCTTCAATGGAGGACATAGCTCTCAGCTGGGCCTCCAAGGATGCACAAGGATTGCCTAGACAGAGAAGTGGATGGTTATAGAGAGAGCATGGGGCAAAAACCAGAATAGGAAACTGAATGCTTCCGTGGGAAGAACAAGAATTCTGGGTGGTTACAATTAACAGAAGAGTGGTGTGTGTTTATGAAAACTGAAGGTTCATAAGGAACTCAAACAGCTCATCAGAAATAACCCAATTAAAGGGCTGGGGATATAGCTCAGTTGGTAGAGTGCTTGCCTTTCATGCACAAGGCCCTGGGTTCAATCCCCAGCACCACCAAAAAAAAAAAAAAAAAAAAAAAAACTCAATTAAAAATACCCAAAGGAGCCTGTAGTCCCAGCAACTAAGAAGGGCACAGGATGAGGATCACAAGTCCAAAACCAACCTCAGCAACTTAGCAAGTCCCTAAACAACTTAGAGAGACCCTGTCTCAAAATTTTTAAAAAAGGGCTGGGGATGTGGCTCATTGGTTAAGTACCCTGGATTCAATTCCCAGTACCAAATAAATAAATAAATAAATAGAAATTTTAAAAATAATAAATAAAAATACACAAAGGATCTGTCTGAATAAACTCTTCTCAAAACAAGACTTGCAAATGGCCAACAGGTATATGAGTGGATAATGAAAACCATGGTGTATACATAAAGTTGTATATATCCAGTAGATGAATGGATAAAAAAAGTGTAGCATATATACACAATGGAATACTATTCGGTCTTTGAAAGGAAGAAAATCCTGTCATTTATGGATGAACCTAGTCATTATGTTAAGTAAAAAAAAAAAAAAGTCAGGCTCAGAAAGACAAATAACATATATCTTATTTATATATGAAATCCAAAAAAGTTTAATTTGTAAGAGTAGAGTAGAATGGGTGCTACCAGGGGTTGGGGAAGGGGTAGCTGGGGAGATGTTTGTCAAGGGACACAAAATTTCAGTTAGCTAAAAGGATTAAGTTCTTGAGATCACTTGTACCACACAGTGACTATAGTCTTTTTTTGTTGTTGTTCTAATTAATTACACATGACAATAAATGCATTTTGACACAATGTATACAAATGGAGCACAACTTCTCATTCCTCTGGCTGTACGAGGTACTGAATCACACCACTAATATGATCATACATGCATATGGCCTAATAATGTCTGTCTTATTCTACTGTCCTTCCCATCCCCACTACCCCATCCCTTCCCTCACTCCCCTCTGCACAATCCAAGTGTTTTTTTCTGTGTTTTGTTTTTTCTTTTTTCCTTTTTTTAAATTAATTTATTTATTTTTTATTATTTCTTACTTACATCACAATACAGTGCATTACATTCCTAATTTTTTTGCATTGCAATTCTTAATACACCTTTATACACAATTTATCAAATCTCTGTTTTGTTTTTTTAAATACAGGTTTTTAGGTCTCACCTAAGAGATTCTGACTTAGTTGTTAAAGGGAAGGATCAAGAATTTGTATTTTGAACAGAAGGCCCAAGTAATTCTGACATAATAAAAGTTTGATGACTCTAACTTATATAGCTTAATGTTTCCGAAAAGGTGATGACAATCTTTCTTCTGTTTTTTAAAATAAAGATACTGGGTCAAATTAGGAAACACCACATACTAAAGTATTCTCTTCTTGGAAATTTATAACGCACAGCGACATATTAAAAGTCCTGTGGTAAAGAAATCAATTTCACTCAGTATTTCCCAGATGTATTTTTCCATGGGGGTGGGGTGGGGGAATCATAGTAAAAGCTCTCAGAATACTAGTGTGCTATGGAGCACGGACTAGACAGAACTGAAACAGAGGAGTCGACTTGTTCCCTGAGCATACTGAATAAGGAAATGTCTAGAAAAAGAAAGCAAAGTCAGTGACTCTGGGGGACATGGAGGCATCCACCCATTTCCTCCAAAGTCTAAAACCTCCTATGATGCCCTGTTTTCCAAGCAGACAGCCAGAAGCTGCTTTGCTCTCAAGTAACACACATGGCTCTTCATTGCAATTCCTGTTCAGCAATGCTATCTGGTAACCACAGCTGCCAGGGGGAAGGAGTGCCCAGAGTTCAAAGTATCCAGGAGCAGGCACAGGGGAAGGACCAAAGAGAAGGTATCTTTGTGCACATTTATCTATCTTTATTATTATCATATGTTCTGCTCAGAGCTTTGCCCATTGTTTCTAAGTTTTCTGGAAGAGGAAAATTCCTCCCGGCACTCTAAGTAGCCTCTGGCAGTCAATGAAAGTGCAAAAAGACAAGAGCCTGAGGAATTCCCATCCCTCCCAGGTGCCCAGAGGAGTTTTTTTTTAATCTACCTTCTGTGCCTCTATGCACACTACCATACAGTCCACCTCCTTCCTGCTTACGAGAGACAAGAGATAAAGAGGGAATTGGAAAAGCCACAGCAACAGGATTCTGACAAATCGGTTTGTGTGCTGAATATTTCAAGATGTACCATACGACACCAATCAATTTATACACTTTTTTTTTTTTTGGTATAAACTTAATTACTTCCATGTGGCCCTTCTCAACTTTCCACATGCCTCATGGGGACACCCCCCATCTAAAAGTGATTTCAACAGTATGCTTCAAATACTTTTTTTTTTTTTTAAAATGCCTCAGTCATCTCAGAGCTTTTCAAGAAGGCTTTCTAATAGCACAATATTTATTCACTCATTCCAGAAATATTTCCTGAGAGCCCCCACAGGCTTCAGGACACTGTACTAGGCACTGCAGATATGACAATGGAAGTAGAGTATTGTTCATTCCTGTTGAGCCCCAGGAATAAAACACTGAATTTTAAATTTAGCCCACCAATGTTCCACAGCAGAAAGAAATGCAAGAGACAGAGAAGGTTTGGTCCTTCCTCTTAAGTTTCATGGCTTATAGTACAAAACAAACCAAAGCATTTGCATTTCAAGAGTTCTGGCAGGTCCAGCAGCTACACAAAGGTTGGAGTTAACAGTGCAGCTTGGAATTAATAAGTTATGATAGGAGAGGGAGCAGAATGCCAGGATCTTCATTTCCCCAAAATGTGAACCCCTATTTGTTTGCTTCCCAAACAAATTCATGGATTCCCACACTGGAGCTTATTAATCCTAAAAGATAATATTGCCAGTAATGCACCAGAATCAATATAACCTTAAGTAGTCAATCAATCAAGAAACAAAAATCTTACCAAGATTACTGGGTAAGTGTGGAGTCTAGACCTAAGAAAGCCAATAAGATCAAATCTAACATTGGATCAGTGTTCTCCAGCATGTGACGCAAGTACCACTGGGGGCCACACAATAATCGTCAGTGCTTCATAAATGATTTTTTAAAATTTCAATAAGGTTCTTAGGTATGGAGAAAAAAATTACAGGTAGAATTTGAGAAGTTGGGCATCATGGTGAGTGCCAATTTCAATAAGGTTCTTAGGTATGGAGAAAAAAAA